CGAAACCGGTCGTGGTATCTTCTTTGATTCTTTCAGAAATGAATTCTGTCTGAGTCTCTAGTAACTAAGAAGGCGGTTGTAAAATTACTAAATATAATTAAATTTAAGTCGAGTTTCATATACAGATGTTTCAATCAGATACTGAAAATGAAATAGATTGTTCCATCAAAATCAACCTCGCTAACTCGTTTCGTTCTCGAGTTATCTAAAAATGTATCCAATGTCATTCTATTTTAGAAATAAATAGTAATAACAATGACTCTTTTTTTTTGTTGACAGAGATCAATCTGTTATTCTACTATAAGTTTTATTCTTCTATTGTAAAATTTCTTTTTTTTTTTTCATAGTCAAGAAAAATCGGATCTAGCCGATACAATCATAACTTCACGGGCCGATCAACCTGAAGAAGAAGTAGAAACAACAAAGGAACAAAATCATGATCAAGTATTATTGATTTTGTTTGATCCAATAGCGGATAATAAGTCGCAAATATTAAATGAACATTTATCTCAAGTAGACGATGTTGTATTTTACACTGATCAATCCACATGTGTAAATGATATTTGTGTAAATGAAAAGGAAACAATATTTTTGGTTGTATGTAGTAATAATCCGTCTGAAATAATTCAACTTGTTGATAATAAAACTCAAGTTGATTCTATATTTATATTTTGTAAAGATGAGTCTGAACTATGTGATGAGGCAGCATTAAAAAGTACTTATACAAAAATTGTTGGCGTATTTACTAATTATGTTGCTATTTCTAAAAATATTCGAAATGGTATGAATTCAATTGGAAAACAATCAGCTGCATTTAGTTTATACGATCAAACACAAAAAGCAACAAGAGATTTAAATAAAGAATCTGGATCATTTTTATTTTTTCAATTATTTAAAGATGTTTTATTAGATATGCCAAAAACTGTTCAATCAAAAATGGATATGATTGAAAAATGTCGTTCTTATTATCGTGGTAATAGAAAAGAAATGGAAAATATTGATTTATTTGAACAAAGTTATAAAGATTCAGAATCTATACCATGGTATACAAAAGAATCATTTTTATATAAACTTGTTAATAAAGCTTTAAGAACAGAAGATGTTGAAGCATTATATACATTTCGATATTATATTGCAGATTTATGTATTAATCTTGCAAAAAAATTTCGTGAATTAAAACGAAAACAACAGAAAAAATCAACAACGGTTATTAAACTTTATCGTGGATTACAAATGGGAAAAAATGAAATTGAAAATTTAAAATTAAATGTGGGTAATTTAATGTCAACAAATGGTTATTTATCAACAAGTCAATCTCGTCAAGTGGCAACTGATTTTGCTAAAAAACCAACAAAACGAGACGATATTGAAGCGGTTTTATTCGAAATTTGTGTAGATATTGATGTAGTAGAAAAAATAGTATTAGCTGATATTGCTGAATATAGTGCATTTCCAGAAGAGGAAGAAGTTCTTTTTGATATTGGTATGTTTAACGGGTGCTTTTTGCCCTCTTCGTATTTTCATCTTTTCTCCCTGTTTCTTCTATTGATTTGAGCTACTTCTTTTTGCAAAAGATATGCCTTTAAATACTCATCAAAATTATACCTAAACTATAATTTCAAAACTTTAATCAAAAAAACTAAGTCAATGAGATAAAAGTCGAAAAAAATGAAAATTTTCCAAGCTCAAACATGATTTCTTGTGTTAATGTTTTGAAAGTAAGAAAAACTGAATTAGCCATTTTGTAGCTCTAACTTTGTTCTATCTTTTAGCTACGCTTTAAATTTTTTCATATCAAAAGCTACAGCGAAAATAGTTTTTCTGTTGGTTGTCATGCATTTTTCATTAATTTTTTAAATTTTGAGTATAGTAGCGCTTTAAGTAAAAGTCCCATAACTCCATCAGAGTAAAAATTTTTTCGGTCGGGTTTGTTTTGTTTTTTGATCAGAAATGATTGCTCTTCTCTATCTAACTGCAAAAACCCAAACTTCAATCATGTTTTCTATGTCTTGCTTGAGCACATTGTTGGAAATAGGAGGTTGTCAACTTTTGTAACTTCGTTCTCCCGTACATCATCTGTTCTAAAAAACATCTTTTTACAGACCACGAGAAAGAGCACATTTGAAAGTAGCAAACACAAACTAACTTCGCACTTTTGCGAATAATAATAGCAGAAGAAAAAGTTCAAGCAGAAAAAAATTTTGAGTTTGAATAGTTTTCATCTAATTGGCTTAGTTTTCTTGATTAAAGTTCTGAAATTATAGTTTAGGTATGATTTTGTAAAGTATTTCAAGGCACATCTTTTGCAAAATGAAGTAGCTCAATTCAATAGAAGAAACAGGGAGAAAAGACGAAAATACGAAGAGGGCAATTTCTTTTGAAGCATTCGTTAATGATCACTACTATTTTTAAAATAACTCATATTGTTTATTTTTAGGTGCTGCATTCAAAATTGATAGTTTTATTTATGATGAGGATGAAAAATTGTGGATGATGAACACAACAGCAACAGATAAAGGTGCTGAATTAGCAAAAGAATATACTGAATATCAAAAGAAAAAAGTAGCCGATTCAAATATTGTTTTAATGTTTGGACATTTACTTGCTGATATGGGTGAATTTGAAAAATCTCAAAAATATTTTGAAAATGTTCTAAGTGGTAGTCCAAATGACGAAGAAGTAGCATGTGTTTACAATAATATAGCTCGGGCTCTTCGACTTAAAGGTGAATATACGCGTGCATTAGACAATTATCAAAAATCATATAATTTACATATGGCCGCTAAACATCCACGTTATGTTAGTGCTAGTAAAACATTAAACGGTATCGGTATTACCTATAGTGAAATGAAAGATTATCCAAAAGCTTGGGAATGTTTTCAACGTGCATTGAAATTATATGAAAAATGTTTACCGGAAAAACATTTGGATGTAGCTGCTACATTGGGTAATTTAGGTACAGTTCTTACAGAACAATATGAAAATGAAAAAGCACTGGTATATTTAAAACGTGCTCAAAAAATAAATACATCATTATTACCTCATAATCATCCAAATGTGGCTACAACTCTAGCTAATATTGGAAATGTTTATTACAGAAATCATAACTATGAGCAAGCACGTGAATGTTACGGAAAAGCACATAAATTAGCACAAACAACATTGCCAGCTAATCATCCACTTGTGTTAAATATAGAAAGATGTCTATCACTAATAGACGATATTATAATAACATATCACTAGATCGGGTCTACACTCTTACTGTATGGTTTCATACGTTTTATTTTAAGACATTAGTTTTAACAAAATATTCAATCCATCTTTTATAATTAGCAGAATCACTTCTTTTATTTTTCGCTCTTCATCGTGTATTAAACCGCAAAAAATCTTATACATTTCTCTTTGAGCCAACGACGAGAGAAGATCTCAAGTATTCTACTGCTTTTTGCATAAATGACATGTAGATATATACAATCAATAGTACTGGTCAGTATCAAATATTACAGTTAGAGCAATCTATAATGATAAGTCTGTGGAGACTAATTTCTAGAAAACATAATCGCATAAACATAAGCGTTCTTTTAAGAAGTATGGAAGAAACATAGAACTTTGGTGAAATCTTGAATACGTATGGACGTAGATTAGCTCTGCAAGAAGTCAGTCTAAAATCTAAATTAGAAGATAATCCAAGAATGTTAGTCATTTCTCTTTTGAGAGCTATGTTATTTTATTTATTTTTGTTTTTTATTTCCTCTTATTTTTTTACGAATTGATTATTTTTTTCATAACATTCATAATTCAGCTGTATCTGAAATTAAATTCTTTATAACTTGATTAAAAATCATCCGATAATCATGAGAGTCTTCCCATGTGCTGAAAATCGCTTCATTTTTGTCGATTAATCGCGATGGTTGAAAAAAATCGACGCTCAATCGCGATTCGGGAAAAAATGATCATTTAATCACGATTAAGTGATAACTTTTTCGTGCATCGCGATTAATCACGAAAATCATCAATTAATTGCGATTAATTGCTGATTTTAAGTGATTAAATGGTTGTTGTTATTTACCGTTTTCTTTTGCAATAAAGTTTGTATATAAGAAATACGATTTCAGCTAAAAATACACTTATATTCAGATCATCTTTTTATTTTAGAATACAACGGAGTTGCCAAGAGTCTTCTCTATTGTTCCTCAGAGCTTTAAACCGAGAAGCCCACTGAATAGCTGGTATGTGGACAATGTTTAAAGCTGACTCGTCAGCAAGACTCCGACGCCAACTGGTGCTAATACCATTGCTGTGTAACGCACATGTCATTATACGTAATAAACAATGAAAAAACAGAAAAAAATATGTATTTCCTAAGATGGGTTCGAACCTAGTACCTA